CAGGAGCCGCCGTTCCCGAACGCCATCTTGATATCTTGAAAAGCTCTTCAAGCTTGCAAGCTTGAGAAGGTTGGAGGAGCCATGAGCTTGCTGGGGGAGAACTTGAAGCTTGAAGCCTGAGGAGATAAGGTCGAGGGCATATTGACTTGCGGAAAGACTGGGGAAAGCGGGTCGAGATGGGGGGAAAGGCAGCGAGGGAATGATCCCATCTTTTCCATTCATGTCGTTCGTTTGATGCGCACGGGCCTCTGCCATAATTCTATCATGATCCGCTGAAGTCCGAACGACTTGACAGTAGGAGTCTGCAAGCTTCGCCGTTCCACTGACGGCGAGCAACCAGGATATCTCTGAAGGTTTTTAAGTGCACTTTGGTTGGGCCAACCTTGAACCGAATATCGGACTGTCACTTCTAAGAGTAAATGTTGAATTATACCGCCCAAGCTCCCTGGATATCTGAGAACAAGTGTTGAAAGATCCAAGGCAGGTCGAGGACATGTAGCCATGAGAACGGCACAATGTTCGTTCAATGTCAGACGGCAAACATCAAAAGTACGTCAATAGGACCGGCCGCGGAGATTGGCGAATATATCACAGTAATATGCGGCCCGAATATTCGGTTTACATCGGACTCGATTGGCGGTGTAGAGGACGTCTAGACGAAGCAGCATAGCCCTTAAACGGGATTTTCAGTCCAAAGCTACACATCCTCGCCTAGGTACCTGTACTTCAGTGCGATTCCTAGTAAAAATCCTTTGCTATGTACATCACAAGCCTAGGGTTGTTGAGTTTGAGGAAGCATTGCCGTGAGAGTTGTGTTGTATAGAAGAGTGTTGGTCAATAAAGTCGGATTCAGTTCCTGTTGCTGTTCTAAACCAGTGGTCGCATACTATGGCCCGGACCCGAACTCGACCAAGGAGTTTGCGCTAGTCTTTGGGAGTATAAAGGGGGTTTGGTTGGGTTGTGTGTTTGGTTAGTGGGGTGTTAGTTTCCAGCTGGCGCTTCCATCTCCATTGCATAGTTTAGCCAAGTCTGCCGTCAAGCGCACATTACTGTTTCAGCGCTAATCCAGTACATTGTCAAATCAAATATATTAGTGTGCCTTCACGAGAGTGGGGTAACAGGGTCATCTTGACCACAGTTGAACAGAATAGAAACTGCGCGAGAGACCTCCAAGACAAGAAAGGAGGAAATGTTGGAAATATAGGTGTTAAAGCGTGTGTTCAGTTGAAAAAAAGGCGGTGCGATCCTCCAAACAGCCAGCAGACCTACTCAGGCTGCGTGTAACTGTTGACTTTTGGCGCCCATAATGCACTCCTTGCATGCGTAGGGCGCACTTATCGAGAAGGCGCTTTACCAACTCGACTATACCACTTCCCCCATCCATTTTGGTGCACTTCACTCGACTAGCTAAAAAGGCACCTCACTGCCTGGCTATTTGCGCACGCACCCAATATACAGATTGCAAAGGAGCGCGCTACAATCTGACGGTGCTGAATTTACACAGTTCTAAAGAAACTGCTTGTACGCGCTATACAAAGCAAGGAGATACAAAAACACCACATTGCCCGGGTTTACCGAGTAGGAGCGTACTTTGCATCGCAGAGCGCCAATCCTTCGCGCGAGTGTAGAAGAATCTCCCATCGCATCTTTCTCGGAATGCTAGCCCCCAACGAGAGACCAAACTCTTGAGGAACCTAGCACCTTTCTCGAAATCTGCTACTTGCAGAGGAGAAATCTGTAATAACCACCACCACCACCACATGAAAAATATCACTCCGTAGAAGTAAAGAGCACCACTAGCCCGATTATTTTCCCCCTAGAGGACGAATAAAACTATTGCATTTCTGTTTGACCGTAATTCCATGGGCAGATTCGAGTAGAATAACCGCAGTCCACATCACAACGCGAAGAGCTTGAGATGTTGTCAGCGGGTCCGGTGCGTTATGATCAGCTGCAAGTGCGGAGCTTTGAGACAGGAACACTCTAATTCTACAGAGAGTGGGCAGGAGCCCAAAAGGCGGAGGGCAGCTTCCACGCGAACTTGTTCAGCTTGGTTGCTTTGTCCTGAGTTGGTAGCGTAACGGATAAGCTTGAATGTCCGTCAAAGCCTCGGGGTAGAGAAAGTGATCTCATGCCACAGCCGACATATCTGACCTGGAATACTGGGGGACAGCGGTCCCTTCTACAGCATGTGTTCCGGGTACTGTGGAAGAAAATGTAGAAAGATTTCTTTTGCAGCGCTGAATCGATCTTCTTGGCCATAGGGATTTCCAAGTGAGTGAGTCCTGAATTTATCACAGCATTTTGATTTTGCACAGTAGCCAAAGTAGCAATTCTCATTTCCGAAGCTTCAACATTCCGCACATGGTTTTTGGATAGGAAGTGTCGCTTGTTGCCATCTCGTTCAAACCATTTGTCGGTGCTGGTGTAATGCTTGCAGATAACGCAGTGAAGTTTCTTTCTGTCCACGGACTCGGTGAAGCCTGTGACAGAACTGTTGAGAATAGCCCGAACACGCAGTCTGGTATCACCCATACAATTATCAACTGGCTGGAGTGAACGAGGCATGGTGCTGCAGGTTTGAAGGGATGTGTCTGTATGTGTCGCAGTCAAAGCGGGCTGGTGTCCAAACAGCACTAATTCTGATTGGTGATCACTGAAACACCATATCCGTAACTTATTATCTGTAACTTGGCCGTAACCACTATTTCCATATAAATACCAGCGGATTCTGGAGCTCGAGGCATTCACTCGGTGTGAGCTGTCACTTTGTGATGTGTGAACGGAGCCAAACGGGAGGAAAAACAAGCTTTCACGATTACGACTCTGTATCCAAGAATATGACAATCACCCTACCTCCGAATAAAATAAAAAAGACTCACACTATTCCACAAGGCCAGACCCTGAATCAAACGGAGACCTTGCAAGGAAACATTGCAGGCTATGTATTTGTCTCGCATGTGTTACCACTCCGCCACCTGGCCGTGATTAGGATGGAGAGCCTCGACAAACAGACAAAATTGATACAGACCTGAACTAAAAAGTCACTGGATTAAACGGACGGCCAGACTCCGAATCGAACAAAGAGCTCACAGGGAAATATTGTTGAGCGGGGACTCGTCCTGTGCGCGATGCCACTATGCCACCTGGTCGTGATTCAGAGCCTCTCGATAAACGGGCAAAAATGATATGGACCTGAATTAAAAAAGCTCATTGGACTAAGCGAACGGCCAGACTCTGAATCGAACGGAGAACTCGTGAAGAAGCCAATCTAGGCGGTTATCCATTTCACGTGCGCTAACCATTACACCACCAGGCCATGGCTTCACGATTCTGAATCCTGTTATGAGCCGTGTTGCGGGAGCGGGGTAGAGGGACAGTCCGCCGGACGAGCAGGAAATACTCCGAAATCACCGGCGGCTCGGAGCGGTCTCCGAGGTACTGGAGTCGGAAAGGAGGACCGGCGGAGCTGATTGACACAACACCACTGAGGCGCAGGGTGAGCGTATACTGCCAGGAATCGTCGAGACAAGAGGGACAGAGTCAAGAGGAGTCAGGGAGATGAGGGGAGTGACAGACACCACTTCGGAGGGAGGGAAGCAACATTTATTAAACTACTGAAGAACAGGAAGTAAACTAAGGAGATTAAATAGTGTAGAGTCTTAATATAATGTAAAGGAGATAAGGATGTGGAGGTACATGTGGAAAAGACAATAGGAAACAATAGGACGTCCAAAAGCGGAATGAGAAGTTGGATGAAATCAGGAATACTTCGGATAATCAACATGAGGTAATATGCATAAAGTTCGAAGCTTGGGAAAGAAGGAGATGCATGTGGAGTGAATGTTACCCTTGATAATGAAGTCCTATGACTACGGACGTCGTGCCGAGCAAGTCTCCGATGTTCCGGTAGTCTCCGAGGTTCCGGCGGTCTCCGGAGTTCCGGTAGTCTCCGAACTCCGGAGTGGACTGGAGTCAAGTAAGTTGTACCGGAGTGTTATAGATGTGGATCGGAGCCTTGGCACATGGATATAACAAATCCAAAATAAACACGAATCCCGTTTCAAAATAAAAAACCCGACTTTCGCGCCCAAGGCCGGACCCTGAATCGAATGAGGAACTCGCAAATGAAGATGGGGGATTCAAGTTGATTGCGCACGCTACCGTTACACCACCCGGCCGTGATTCAAATAGCAAAATGGGGAGTCAACTCATAAAAAATAGGGACTTCGTGGGAAGGGCCGAACCCCGAGTCGAATGGGGGGCCTGCAGGGAGTAGGTGATGAAGCTATTCTCAATTTAACTGTGAGGGCTACCAACTGCACCATTCGACCGTGATTTGGGGATGCATTTGCTCACCTATAATTCGGACTTCGGGAAACGGAAGCACAGTTAAATTCAATACGGAGACGGACCGACGGCAGGCCGGCATACGGAGTGGGCTCTTGGGAAACGGGATGACCAAACAGGAAATGGAGATGGCACGAGGTAGGTCCGAATTGACTGTCAGCTCCTTCAAACATAGGGAGCGCATGGAGATCAACACAGCGAGTCAGGATGGAAACAGAGGAGGGCTCCATTTCCTAAACAAGGAGTTATTACGTGCATGAGTATCGGACGGAGAATGGTATAAAAGCCAGCTGTATGATATGGAATAATCATCTTATTACCTCCCACTGCATATACCTAAAGCTACTCCCCCTGAAGTACACCAGGGTGGGGGTTTAAAATTGAATACACTCCGCTACGGGTCATGCCGCCCAATAGTAGGGCTTGTCAAGAGACCCCGTCCGTCCCACCTCCATTTCAATAAATAGTGCGCCAGTGATTTACATTTTATGAGTACGCCTTTGTGGTTCCGAATCTGCGACTGCACCGGTGATATCCAATTTGCGAGTGCACCTTTGTGGTTTCGAATCTGGGCCTGTGCGAGTGATTTACAATTTGGGAGTGCACCAATTTGTGACTGCGCCATGTCACTTCGCCGGTTGTTCTGAAAGGCACTTTTGTTCTACGCGGAAGGGTGCTCGGAGCTAATCACAAAGTGATAGCTCACAGCGGCACACCACCAAACAGCCAGTAGCCTAACTTGGCTTTGTGCAACCGTTCTTATTCGGAGTTGAACACATGTCCTTGCGAGGAACCCACCCCATCGTATACGGAAGGCTTCTGCACGATCATACCATTTCCCCCACTCATTTCACACGCTTCACCCCCGAGTCTTTGAAACGGAAGTAACTCCGTTTCAAGGTTTTCACCAACGGAAAAACCAGGCTATGAAGGGAATCACTATAGCCGTCCGTATAGTGTTACACTGTACTGAAGAAACCTGCTGTCTGGTACGCTCGAGACGGGTGGATAAAGCATAACAGATAACCTGAGTACTCCGGAATGGAACAGCATTCACATTGTGGAGCGAATCCTTCGAGCAAGTGTAGAAAACTATCCATCCGCAGTACATTCGGAAGGCCAGCCCCCAACGAAGAACCAAATCTTCGAGGAACCTGGCAAAGTGTTCACTCCATATGGAGAGGACTGTACACATACACACCACAATTTTCTATGCCACGCATTTGTTATGTCGCTGAGCCAAGAGGGAAGGAATATCCGATCATATAACCAGAGCTGGACTAAGCCGATACTCGGCGATGAACAGATGTCTAGATCAGCTCTTCTTGGAACACCACACTCAGCAAGCGTGACCGGTTGACTGGCCTCGAGCTGCGAGATGGGAAGTGCCCTATACCGAGGTCCGAGCAGTGCTCGCTCGAAGATGGTGACGGGACACGGATAGCCTGGACCGGAGACGCAAGGGCAATCACCGGTATTGTTGGTTAGTCGTCCGGCGTAGGTCCGGCACGGACCGGAGCAATCAGTGAGAAGGAGCGAGCCGGAGCGGACCAGAGGCATATCCAAGAAGCAGGAGACAACCCAGAGTCGTACCGCAGTTGTTGGTATGGCTGAGCGAGAACTCCGGAGACATGACCAAAGGTCTGGGGACGCGACCGAAGAGCGAAGGTGACCGGAGTCCCGGAGGGAACCAGAGCGAGACGGGAGCAAGGCCATAACGAGGGAGACGTCAAGAGGCAATGAACAAGAGCCTCAGGAGACGATGGAGACAGTTGGCAACAGTCCATGAAGAGGAAACATGGAAACGACATTAATTTTCCGGATAGTTTACAGGAAGTAAAGTACCGGTATAAATACTAGAGTCAGGTAGTTAGTACAGAAGGAAATAAGTAACATGATGCAAAGATAAGTAACATGAGGCAGAGTATGCCATGTGGAAGAAGAGACTACCTTGCAGCAGAATAGGTCAAGTGAATAAAGAAGAAAGGCAAAGCATATAGTTAGATAGATAGATAGATGGATAGAAGAATGAATGATAAGATGATAATGTGAAGATACCTGCCTTGAGGCAGATGAAGAAGCGATGTGGAATGATGGAAGTGCGATGAGAAGGCACAGCATGTGAGAAGACAATAAGGAGAAGTGATGTGGGTGTTGAAACAATAGAAGGGAAGTGATAAGGAACGGATAAATGGATAAGGAGTGAATAGGCATGATACCGCATGATCCAGACAAGAGTCCGATGTCTCCAGTGACTCCGGATTTCGGAGAGATGTCCGAAGCGACCGGAGCGTGAGCGGGAGTGTAGAAACATAGGCGAATGAGGTATAAGTGCACCGGAGGTTTGACCGGTACGTGGGTAGTCGATATGGACAAGGTCCGAGGCACTGGTTGGCGATTTGGGAGCTCCGGGTCGCCGGAGCGGACATAGAGGCAAGTAGTCATTCTGGAGATAGTTGGCAATACTGTATTTTTTCGTTCAGATCGACAGGGGGGGTGATGCGTGACAAGTTCAACCGATTCGACATTTCGACAAGGGTCAGATTTTGGCGTGACACCTCGAAAATTTCGACATTTCAACCCAAAATTTCGTATTTTTTGCACTTTTTGGGCAGTTTGGCGACCTACGTGACGGCCTGGAGGTTCGACAGAGGCCCGAGTGATGCATGACGTCGACCAAAATTCGACATCAACAAGGGGGTGCGTGACACGTGACTGTCGATTTGAACGAAAAAATACAGTACTTCCGGAGGAGTGCGTATGCATATGAGCAGTGTCCGAGACGACACAGGTGGAGCGGAGCTGAGCCAAGGGACGAGAACCGGAGTTCGGAGTGATGATGTAATCAAGTCCGGAATGTACCAAGGAGTGCGGCGGTGCCATGCAGCTGAGCCGCGGAGAACCGGTCAGAGCTGGGTGACTAGTCCAGAGGTTCCGGGATGAACCAGAATGACCGGAGGGTGAACGAGGTGAGGAGTGAGGCCGGAGGTGGCCAAGACAAGATGGAGTGGTGAAGGTGAAGTGTATAATAAATAGGAAAGTACTCAGTGATCCATAATGGGACAAGAGCTGTGTATTCCGGGATAGGTCTGGGTACGGGTGGACCATGGTCGACGGAAGTAAGCCGGAGTGATGCCGGAGTATTACCGGAACGGTGTAGGGTATAATGAGTGCGTGATGATGTGTCCGGAGGTGATGGGAGCACAATCGGAGTCAGTTTGAGTGCGACCAGAACCGATAAACAGGAAGAAATGAAGGTCTGAAATGCACAGATATAACAGCATTAGCGTACCTTAAAAACTACGCAGCTCCACGACAGAGCAATTTCCTCCTAGAGGACAAATTAAATTCGGTAAACACGACTTGACTATACCTATAAGGAGGGTGAGAGTTAACTTATATCGAGCACCCGACTGAACTGTCCCAAGTTCTATTTATTAGAAGCAGGCAGCGTCAGTGTTGGGTCCAAGATTAGTTGGCCCAACACTGATGCTGACACAATTACTATACATGCATGATCGTAACAAAGTAGAGAGTAAGCAATAATGAATAATAGCGAGTAGGCGGCGAGCGGGGAATGGGTCCTTACACCCTCCCCCCCAGGACGAGGCTCCGAGTCCGCATTTTGCCAGCG